GAGTGCTCTACACAGACGGAGCCAGACAGCTGAGCGCCGCCATGATAGTGGGGACTGAGGAGCTAGAGGGGAGGGGGTGAGGCCAGAGGAGCCGACTTCGCCTCCCTCCCCTGCTCCTTGGAGGCAGAGGAAGATGGCGGGGACAGGAGAACCACCATAACAGAAGGGATGGAGCAGGGGACCAAGGCCAGGTCTGCTTCTTGGAGCCAGGGGCTGGCACTGCCCCCCCCCCAGGCAGTCAGGGAGGGGAGTGGGAAGGGAACGGGGGGGGGGGGGGTTACCAGTGGTTGCACCCTGCCACAGCTGCAGCAACTGCTGCTGCGGGCCTCGGCCCAAAGCAGTGGCGAGGGGGGAGGTTGGTCAGGGAGTGGACACAGGGCTCTGTCCCCGCCCACCCATCATTCTTGATGGTCACTTTGCTAGTAAGTACATAAGGGGTGTGCATCAGGAACTGGGAGAATGCTTGTTCCCCAGGGCTCCGCAAAGGAAGACAAAGTCCAACAGTCACAAACTGCTGGAAGACCATTTCAGACTGGACATAAGGAAAAGCTTATTTACTGTCCGAGTCCCCAGAGTCTGGAATAGTCTCCCCCCAGAAGTGGTGCAAGCACCTACTCTGGACACCTTTAAGAAAACATTTGGATGCTTATCTTGCTGGGGTGATCCAGCCCCAGCTGACTTCCTGCCCCTTGGGCAGGGGGCTGGACCTGATGATCTTGCATGGTCCCTTCCAGCCCTGATGTCTATGAAATCTATGAAGCCATATCACAGCTTTCTTTACATTAAGCCTCTCATATCCATAGCCACAAGATACAAAGGACAGTCAGGCCACATACATGGTTACCCTGGTTTTACATCCACAGCCAAGTTTACATAGCTCCCAGAGCCCATCTCTCAAAATCTGAATACTTAATGAATTGTGGAGACTGAATTTCTCCCTTATGGGTGGGAGTGGGCAGTGGTAATGCATAGGGGGTGTCACCCCCTGACAGCCAGTGCTCCCCACTTAGGTGGCGGGCAGGGGCAGGCAGGAGCACCAGTGCTCCTCCACCCCCCACAAGTGCCGGCCAGGGAGTGGAGGTGCCTCTGGGCGTCACCCATGGGAGTGGGCATGTCAGCTGAAGCAATGCAAGAATGTAGGCACTTTGCAGCCCTGAGCTGGGCTGTGCTTGCCTGCTCCAGAGAACAGGGCTGGCCCCACCCCTCTGCTCCCTGGTTGGAGCAGTGTGGGCTGGCTGACAATGTGGGGTGGGGCAGAACACTGCCCTACTCAGGCAAACCCCGGGTCTGGGGCCTGGGGTCAGGGAGTGCTGCACTCACAGTGTTAAACACCCCTTCCCCAGTTAAAACTTGCAGTCAGCAGTGACTGTGAACTACAAATCCCAGAGGGATCTGAAAGCAGGAACAGGAAGTGAAGAGCAATCCTGCAGAATCCTTCTGCTTTAATTCTGGTTCAGACTGGACATAAGGAAAAGCTTATTTACTGTCCGAGTCCCCAGCAGGAAGAAGTGAACATACAGGCAGAGAGCCATGCTCTAGTGCCCCCCAACTTCTGGCCTGAGCCACTGCAGGCATGTGGTTCATAGATTCATAGATTAAGGGTCGGAAGGGACCTAGTAGATCTTCTAGCCCGACCCCCCGCCAGGGCGGGAGAACAACAAAAAACCCCAAAAAGAGAAATGGGACTCAAACGAGTCCAGCCAGGTAGGCATCCAGCCTCTTCTTAAAGACCCCCAGGGTAGGGGCCAGCACCACTTCCCTTGGAAGTTGGTTCCAGCTCCTAGCCGCCCTAACCGTGAAGTAGTTTTTGCGGATGTCCAA